TATCTGCTGATCCACGCCTCTCATCCAACTTCCAGCATACTGCCGCCAATCGTACGCTAACAGCCCTCCCACTCCAGCCCTCCTCCTTTAAGTGACTACTCTCACATCCAATCAGGTCTGAAGAAGAAGCAGTTGCTTCAAAACACGTCACCTGACTTCTCCTCGCCTTCCCAGTGTACACCCGCTGGGTCCGGACTTCTTTGTATTCCACACAGGTAACGGTGCTGGTTTCCACTGTCCCTCACCACTGACAGCTGATGGCTCCATCCCCAGCCATTCAGAAGGACCAGGACCCAAACTGACACCGCTGGCCTCCCCACTGGTCATGCCGAGGACAGACAGGACAGCTCCAGTATGACCACTTTAGACCTATTTCACTTTTAAAGCACATGGCAGGCCCCATACAAGCTATGGGCCTAAACGATAGCTCAGACCAGCAGCACCTCCCCAGGCCTCAGCTTGGCAGAAGAGAGTGGTCACCAGGTCTGCCCCTATATTCATATCTTCCCCCAGCATGCACCAGTGACTTTAACCTCCTACTGGGTTTTTTTTTTTAATTTAAATATTTATTCATTTTCAAAATAAGTAGGAAAAAAACAACAATACATATTCCATTTACATTCTCATAAAACCAAACATTCACAATATTTTTCCCTTTTCTCCAATTACCCCTTCCCTCTAACAAAACCTCCCCTTCCCTCCCTCATGACCCCCTCCTCCCACCAACTATCCACCCTGCGCTTCTCAACATCCTCCACACAAAAAGCAAGAAGAGTGTTCCTATTTATAAAAGTCACCACTTCATCATTTCACCTTCAATCTAAACTCTTCTCATTTTTTCCATTGCGCGTAATATGCCCCCTATCTTCCTGCATATAAAAATGTTTCTCCATCCTACCATTCTGGTCCACTCTATCTATCCAATCTTCTTCCTTTGGAACCTCTACTTTACGACAAAACTTGGGTATCAAACTTTTTGCTGCATTTAAGTAGTCCCATACACCTGTATCTTTATATTTATTTACTGATAGTTCTGTACTATGAAGAAGCCAAATTCCAGGGTCCAATCTAATGTCTATTTCTGTAATCATCCTAATTTGATGTACAATTTTCTTCCAGAATACTTGTATTTTTGGACACTCCCACCATATATGATACATGGTGCCTATTTCTCCAAACCCCCACCAACACCAAGGTAGTTTCTTCCCACTCATCTTGTGTTCTACACTCGGTGTAATATACCATCTTATCAAACATTTATAATTAATTTTCACCTCACACATACTTATATTCTCGTGAATCAATCTATATATTTTTTATTCTGTTTGTCCTCCTCTATCTCCACCCCCAAATCTCTTTCCCATTTTGCTATATACAATAGTTTTGTGTCTGTGTCTAACTCAGTGAGAATTTTATATATTTTAGCCGAGCCATGTTTCCCATCTCCCCGTGATTCCAACAACCTCTCAAACAAATTCCAATCTTTTCTAGGTCTCAAAGGCTTTGGAAGATTCCCAACAAAATTTTTCAATTGATTATACGTCCACACATCTATCTTAGTGAAAATCTCTCCCTCTTCCTTTTCCAAATCCTTAAGTGATCTCAGTTCTACCCCCTTCATTATATCTCTCAACTGGGCGTCCTCCTTCTTAATCCATTTTCCTGAAATTTAACCTCCTACTGTGTTGGTTGAAGGGAATATAAATATTCATAACTCAGCCTTGTTATGAAATCTCATACTATTGCAGGTGGTACCAGTGACATTTACTGGCAGCAATAAGAAATCACAAACCCACTAAGTTTAGGGAAAGACCAAGTGAATACCTATACAATCATTCTGGGCTAACTACCACCCAGCCAAAAAAAATTACATTTAAGCAAAATTCCTGTTTAAGACAGATCACTACATAAGAAATAAGGAAAATATACTTATCAATGAGAAGTGACAATTAATTTACACAGAGTATGAAATCAAAGCGATTCAAATTCACAGCAAATATGGTTTACCACCTCACCACTTCCTTCACTTCTCACAATTAGTGGGTTACTGTAAATCATTAATAAACCCCTCTAAAGTATTTAAACCCAGAAAAACTGATGATCTGATTCCCTTAATATCATTGATATACCAAGCCTTTGATTTGTTATTTACTACACCATTGTCCAATATCAGTATAAGCAAATGGCAGCAAGACTTCCACATCAGAGAAATAGCTGACAAAATCGACATGGGCTGCCAAGCTGTAAGAAATAACATGACAAATGAAATATGATGTGAGAGACATTTTAAACCTATGCATAAGTAATACTGTATGCAGCCTTTCAAATTACATCAATGTTCAAAGTGCAGCAAAGCTACGGAGACACTAATACATTGGGGTTGATCTACAAAAGGAAAACTGTTGACTTTGCAAAGGAATTTCCCCTTAGGTCAGTGGATGAGATGAAGCTGTGCAGACTTACACTATCCAAATGTGCAAACACAAGTACTGTTTTTTATTTTCCTTGCATGAATTTGTGTATTGTTTGCAAAGTGAGTTTTCACCACAATCACTAAGATAAAGAAAAAACCGCTTTGCAAATGGAAAATCCTCTTACAAAGTGAACAGCATTTTTGTCTTTCATAAGTGGATCCCATTGTCTTTGAAGCTGCCCTGTAATAGTAATAGTATATTATTGGACTCTAATAAGCAAATATCTATGATCAGTGTACCCCAAAATGCAGAAACACAACTCTCACTCAGAAAAGGTATTTAATGTAAAAACAAATGCCTGCTGACATCAAAGTATAGCATAATGCTTGAGTGGCTCTCCAGCAAAACCCCAGATATCCCTGCACTATAACAGATCTAAAACATCCCTTCTACAGGGAAAAACTAGATGCAGAAATAAACATGCACAAAAAGCCCTTTTTTCCCCTTACTTTTTGGTAATTTGATAAAACAGAAATCAGCGAGATCAACATATCATTCTGCTAGAAAAGGAAGTGATACTAAAATATCCATAACGGGAGTGCATGCGCGGAGGCTGAAGATGGCGGTCGCACACTGATCCTGCTCCACTTCACCACTCTCTCTTCTAGCTCCTTCGGAGCGCACGTTAGCTAATTTCAGCAGAGAAGCACAGGTACCCCAATCAGTATCATTTGCAGATCCCATGGGCAAAATCGGGCGTCAGAAATTCCCTCCATCACCCACCAAGCAGTTCTGGCCTACCCATATGGATAAATATGTGCCACGAGCCGCATCCCCGGCCTCGAATGATCACACAATCCCAACGGCAGAACCGGATGATCCGTCTGGTCGGGAGGCGGAGGTAACACACCACTGTACTTTACCCCCCCCCCCCCCTTCTCCTATCCCCTACCTCACAGCAGAAATTCTGGATGATAAGTTACATGACCTTCTGCAGAGTCTGTCTCATACTATATCTGCGGCAGTGGGGAAAATAGCACAGGAACTCAGAGGGGAGATAGCACTGGTGGAAGAATGTACAGACCACCTACAAACCAAATTTGATGATATGGTGCAGTATTTACATGTACTGGAGGAAGATAATCTTACTTTGAAACAACAGATGTCCCAGGTACAATCCCTACCAGAAGATTTGGAATATAGGGAGCTAAGACAGAATCTCCATATACGTGACATTCCTGAATCTGTAGGAGACGCTGATATGCAAGATTATCTATTGGGTCTGTTCAGTACATTGGCCCCAGCGGTTCTAGAAATAGATTGGCAAATGGACAGAGCCCACCACTCTCTTGCCCTGAAACCACCATTGGGCGTGAGACCAAGAGACATAATTGGTTTCATTACTATGATAGCGAGTTACATGCTGAACCCTGCATGTAACACCGCCTCGTTGACTTTAGTGGGGAAAAAATTCAAATCTATAGTGATCTGTCCCCTATCAAATTGTCAAAGAGAGGTACACTTTGTCCACTTACTCTCCACCTTCAGAAGCATTGCATTATATACAGATGGGGCTTTCCATTCAGGTTAACCATAACCAAGGAAGGCACTCAACACACAATCAGAGATCTTCAAAAAGGAGAAGCGTTTCTGTGTAACTTAGGCCTACCTTCTCTCCTGGATGAAGCTTTAGCACTACCCCTACCCAAGCCAAGAGCGGTAAACACTCCTAACAAGTTGTGGACACCGGCATGACCCAGAAACAAGGCGCACCTCCTGATTCCTCAATGGTCTCTTGCTTCCTGGTCATCTTCTGTTACCTGATGACGTCACGCAAAACGCAGCTGATGCCACTTAAGACTTAACGTCTATTGATATGTCCTGCCCGACAATTTTGATATCCCTTTACGGATAAATCCAACACCCTATTGAGATCTTCTCAGATAATGTCCTGTTATTTGCTGTATACTTTGGAAGAGAGAAGTGAAGTCAATGACTGACTTTCTCCCTCCCTATGTCGTCCCCAAACATCTACAGTTATTGCTGTAGAATAATACCCAATATCTCTGCACACTCCCAACTATAACAATAACTCCTACACCCTAAAAGAAAAGTGAAAACTTTCACCTTTGAAAGTAAACGTAATAATAACTAGATTCTTAATTAAATAAATCTATCCCAAACTTAACATAAACTGCTATATAGATTAAAAAAATATATTATATAAAATAATAAAAATAAAATAAATGTCTCAAAAATAAATGTCCCACAAAAAAGTCCAAAATTGTCTCTATTGTACAGTGTCTTTTCAACCTCCAAATCAAATCGTGTCACTTTTTAACCACAAGCCTACAGGGCACTTATACCCCCGTCCTGCCCAAGTCAATTTACAGCTTTCAGCGCTGTCGTACTTTGAGTGACAATTGCGCGGTCATGCAACACTGTACCCATATGACATTTTTATCTTTTTTTATGACAGATAGAGCTTTATTTTGGTGGTATTTAATCACCTCTGGGTATATTTTTTCTTAAACAAACCAAAAACCACTGAAAATGTTGAAAAAAAAAAGTTTTTCTTAGTTTTTGTTATAAAATTTTGTAAATAAGTGATTTTTCTCCTTCACTGATGTGCACTAATGACGCTGCAGTGATGGCACTGATAGGCTGCACTGATGGACACAGATAGGCGGCATTGATGGGCACTGATGAGGAGGCACTGGTAGGTGGCATTGATGGGCATTGACAGGCATCACTGATGGGCACTGAAAGGTAGCACTGATATATATGGCACTGATAGGCGGCACTGACTGGCACTGTTAGGTGGCACTCACTGGCACTGATAGGCGGCACTCACTGGCACTGATAGGCGGCACTGATTGACATTGATAGGTGGCAATGACTGGCACTGATGGGTGACACTGAAAGGCAGCTCAGATGGGCACTGATATGTGGCATTGATGTGCACTGGTAGGCACTGATATGTGGCATTGATCTGGCACTGATGAGCACTAGCATGAGGCACTGATGAGCACTGACACAAGGCACTGATGGACACTGACAGGTGGCACTGCTGGGGCTACAATGATGATCAGTGTACATGTCCCCTCCGCGGGAAGCCAATTACCAGCTCTCCACTCCTCTCGAGCTATCATCGTGACAGCTCGAGAGGAGAGAAATGCTGATAACCGGAATTTCCCTGTTTACATGTGATCATCAGTGATTGGACACAGCTGTGAATGGGAATGACGTCCTCCCAGAAGGAGAGAACCACCTTGCGTCTGTCATATTACTATATGGCGGGCGGAAGGCGGTTAATAATCCAGTGTAGCATTTCCAAATTTTTTAAATTCTTTGTGAACCTCAAACAATATAAACGTATGATAGTGTATTACCTTTTTGCATAAATCAAAAAAGTGAAACAAATCGTGTATCATGCAAACTGCATATCGTGTGCACTCAACTCACACGTGAGGAAAAAAAAAATGTAATATGTAATATTTAGTGGTTTATTAGAGGTATTGGTTCCCTACATTTGAGGATATATATTTAATTTAATTTATTTATTTTATTTTATTTTAATTATGAGGTAATTTGGGGATAATTTTATTTTTTTAAAAAGGTATATATATTTTTTTAGAAAGGTGCTTATGGCGGCACAGTGGCTTAGTGGTTAGCATGTCTGCCTTGCAGTAAAATGGGTCATGGGTTCGGTGCCTCCTGCATGGAGTTTGCATGTTCTCCCTGTGCTTGCGTGGGTTTCCTCCCACACTCCAAAGACATGCTGGTAGGTTAATTGGATCCTGTCTAAATTGGCCCTAGTATGTGTATGAATGAATATGAGTTAGGGACCTTAGATTGTACGCCCCTTGAGGGTTAGGGACTGATGTGAATGCACAATATATATATGTAAAGCACTGCGTAAATGGACGGTACTATATAAGTACCTTAACTAAATACATTTATTTAAGGTACTTAAATATCCCCATAGTAATAAGGTACTAAATATCCCCATAGTAGTATGGGGATATTTAGTATTAGATATTTATTAGATTTGTTTATATTAGAAGATGGAGGTTATACAGGGACTTATCGATATGCTTGAGGTAAAGATACTATGTTATTGCAGTGCTCGTATAGGGAATTGCAATACAGATATGTTTTTGGCCGTTTTCCATGAAGCAAGATGGCGGTTTTGATATCCTGCCCTCAATGTAGGACAGTATATAAGGAACCACCGTTCAGACATCTTGATCCATTCTGAAAGAGTCTAGGAAGTGACGAAATGCGTCGGAACGTGACATCTGACGCACTCACGCACAACCGGAAGTGCTGTCGTGGCCATCTTGGAATTGGGCACATGTGTTTTTTTCCATACTAGGACTACACCTAAGCTGTTCCCAATGCTGGAAGCTGGTTTTCTTCTATTTTAATGTAAGCTACTAAATATTATGTTGATATATTTTGTTACATACCGTCTTTAGTCTCCAATTTTACCTTATGAGGAACATGGAAGAGTGGCAACAGGAATATTAGGAAGCCTGGAGAGTGCTATCATCCATTGTTTTGTGTAGAGCCTGTCATTACCTTCATAGGGTAATTATCCATTGTTGCACCAGTTGGAGAAAAACACTTTACTTTTCACCATCATTTATTTTGAAATGTTCACTATAAGAAATTGGGTATATGGAAGAAGGACCACAGAAGTGGTATAGAGCTTTGGAAAGTTGTATCACTTTCTGACCAAAATATTTGGTTAAGTTTGTCAATTTTTTATTCGCATTATTTGGAGGTGATTACGGATTTGCATTGTTTGGAGTTGGAGTGTTCACTATTTGAGTATATTCACATGTGCATTTATATTGAGATATTGGTATAGTTATATTAGATATTTTTTTTATTTTTTTTTTTTCCCTCACGTGTGAGTTGAGTGCACACGATATGCAGTTTGCATGATACACAATTTGTTTCACTTTTTTGATTTATGTAAAAAGGTAATACACTATCATAAGTTTATATTTTTTTGAGGTTCACAAAGAATTTAAAGAATTTGGAAACACTACACTGGATTATTAAAGAGTGACACGATTTGATTTGGAGTTTGAAAAGACACTGTACAATAGAGACAATTTTGGACATTTATTTTGTGGGACATTTATTTTTGAGACATTTATATTTATTTTTAATATTTTATATAATATATTTTTTTTATCTATATAGCAGTTTATGTTAAGACTAGGATAGATTTATTTTGTCACACAGAAGAGTCTAGTTATAATTATTGCTGTAGATGCTTGGGCGGCCTTGGTTGCTCAGGCCTCCTCCATATTTTGGTTTCATATTATGTCTGCATATCTTTTTTAGATTTGTTTGTTCTGTGTCTGCTAGTTTTTTTGCGATGCACTGGATGCGTCTTTCTTAGTCAATGCTTTTTGTGTTATTCTTTGTTAGCACAGCATGGTTTATTTGTCATATTGCCCTGCATACAACTGCTTCATGTTCAGATTTCACCAATATGTCTGTACAACTATACTCTTGTAATGTTAAAGGTTTAAATTCAACGAGGAAGAGGTCGATAGCTCGGAGAGAATTCCGTCAGTCTAAGGCTGATATTATCCTTATCCAGGAAACACATTTCAAAAAGGGAAGCTCATTTAACTTTGCCCTCAGATATTTTCCTATGGTATACTCCGCTATGGTTGGCACGGGTAAAGCAGGTGTTGCTATTATTTTCAGGAAAGGTTGCACTATCCGGGTGATAGCCTCGGTACTAGACACACAGGGCAGATTTATATTATTGCAATGTCAATATGGCAATGTCTATATTACAATTATTAATGTATATGTTCCTAATACTAATCAATTGGTGTTCTTTAGAGATGCTATCTACCCACTTTTAGCTTCTGCACACGCCTTCGCGATTATTGGAGGAGACTTTAATTTATCCATTTATATTTATTTTTAATATTTTATATAATATATTTTTTTTATCTATATAGCAGTTTATGTTAAGACTAGGATAGATTTTTTTGTCACACAGAAGAGTCTAGTTATAATTATTGCTGTAGATGCTTGGGCGGCCTTGGTTGCTCAGGCCTCCTCCATATTTTGGTTTCATATTATGTCTGCATATCTTTTTTAGATTTGTTTGTTCTGTGTCTGCTAGTTTTTTTGCGATGCACTGGATGCGTCTTTCTTAGTCAATGCTTTTTGTGTTATTCTTTGTTAGCACAGCATGGTTTATTTGTCATATTGCCCTGCATACAACTGCTTCATGTTCAGATTTCACCAATATGTCTGTACAACTATACTCTTGTAATGTTAAAGGTTTAAATTCAACGAGGAAGAGGTCGATAGCTCGGAGAGAATTCCGTCAGTCTAAGGCTGATATTATCCTTATCCAGGAAACACATTTCAAAAAGGGAAGCTCATTTAACTTTGCCCTCAGATATTTTCCTATGGTATACTCCGCTATGGTTGGCACGGGTAAAGCAGGTGTTGCTATTATTTTCAGGAAAGGTTGCACTATCCGGGTGATAGCCTCGGTACTAGACACACAGGGCAGATTTATATTATTGCAATGTCAATATGGCAATGTCTATATTACAATTATTAATGTATATGTTCCTAATACTAATCAATTGGTGTTCTTTAGAGATGCTATCTACCCACTTTTAGCTTCTGCACACGCCTTCGCGATTATTGGAGGAGACTTTAATTTATCCATAATAGCTGCATGTGATAAGAGGCCCTCAAAACATGTTTTGAAACAGTCTACCTCCTTCCGTCAATGGATCAGAGGACATAAGCTGTTTGATATTTGGAGAATACAACACCAGAATGCTAAACAGTTTTCGTTCTTATCTCCGGTGCACCACACCTACACTAGATTAGATTACTTTTTGCTATTAACTCCCCTGCTTAAACAGACAGTAATTGCCTCCTGCTCCTGGTCAGATCATTCTTTTTTGACTTTAGATCTGTTTCTAGATAGATCAACTTCACGCACATGCCATTGGTGCCTGAATGACACACTTCTATGTCAAGCAGATGTCAACACTTCTATTTCAAAAGCATAGCATGAATTTTTTGAACTTAATACTGGATCTGTGTCAGCGTCCTCAACTCTATTAGGGGTCGTTTTATAATGGAAAGCTCACTTCTTAAGAAGTCCCTGCTTCACCAGAAAACTGACCTTATGAACCAATTATCCCAAGCAGCAAAAAAAAAATTATCGATTCGCCCTCTTTGCCTAAACTCTGCTTAGTGGTACAACTTAAAGATCAACTTAAGGCACTTGAGGCTAGTTCTATAATGAAGAAACTACTATGGATGAAACAGAAGTTTTATCAATATGCTAATAAACCTTATAGGATGTTGGTTAATAAACTGAAAGCACATTCGACTACTTACACTCCTGAATTTTTGTTTCAAGCAGATGGCACCCCTACTTCTTGCCCCCAACAGATAGTCCAAGTGTTCGGAGACTTCTATCGTAAGCTTTACAACTGTTTATCACCAGACATACACCCCCCTTTCCATAGAGATTCCTTCGACGCCTTTTTCTCAACCCTTCATCTCCCTAAATTGAAAAGGGAATATAGCATAACTTTGAATGCACCTATTACTATGGAGGATCTGTGTGCAGTTGTTAAGGATCTACCGTCACACAAATTGCCGGGCCCAGATGGGTTTTCCAACACATATTATAAGCAATTCATCACAGATATAGGCCCTGTCTTATTGAACTTTTACTCCTCTCTGCTAAGTGGAGAAACACTTCATTCGCAATTTCAACATTCTCATATCACAGTCATTCCCAAACAAGGCAAAAACATAACGACCCCAGCTAACTACAGGCCCATAGCATTATTAAACACGGATTATAACATTTTTATAAAACACGTAGCAAATCGTTTGGCTCCTTTGCTTCCCAAAATCATACATAATGATCAGTAGGGATTTATGTTGGTGAGGAAGGCAGGAGACAACATTCGGCTTACAATCAGTAAGTTTACGTACTCTATGGCTCACGAACTCCGGCTCTATTGCTAAGTTTAGATGCTCAG